ACTTAGCATTTAATTAAAACTCTATGTCTCATGGTGTTTATCTTTTAACGTGATGTTGATGGTGTCATTTTCTTATATGATTCTAAATTAATACTTATAATTTCTTGTATTACTGTCTGTAAAGCACTTTGAGCAGCCACTGGCATGAAAAGTGCTATGTAAATTAAGATTATTGTTGTTATTCTTCCTATTATTATTATTTTGTTTCTACTAAACTTGACACCTCTTTTTGGAGCTGAGCACTGCTGTAGTTTGGTTTTTAGACCTGAATCTTTTCAATTTAACCGGACTTACTTTTAATTGGCGTATGAGCTGAAAATGATATGTTAACAGATTGGAAAACAGATAATTGTTAACTTACTACAAATTTTAAAGGCAACCTGTTTCACTCTTAAGGTTAAAGTTCAGTTAAAACATCAAATCTTTTCTTATAGTGAATTTACAAGAACAGGTTTACTTTCGCTTCAAGATATACACTGGACTTCTTTGGGTGGTTGTTATGACCAGCTGTTTTCCAAAATTGAGCGTTTTCTCAGACATTCTGCATTCCACAGTTGGTTTAAATAACCTGTTCCACTCTATAGTGGCAAAGCTTAGCCACATAAGTATACGTTTCACTTCCCATAGCATGACTCCTTTGTGTCCAAGTTTTCTGGCAAAAAAGAAAAAATAACAAGACAGAAATATGAAGGTGTGCATGGGGGTGGGGGTGGGGATGGAATATCCTCTGCTGATGCAGATCTGTGTGTGTGTGTGGTGTGTGTGTGTGTGTGTGTGTGTGTGCGTGTGTGTGTGCTGAGCTGCTCTATATGCGAGAAGTTCCCTCAGCAGTAGCCCTGTCTGCCCCTGAGCGTTTGAAGCTGAAGGACAGCATGGAGACTTAAGCCTGCAGGCGAACTGCCCACTGGAGCACACACACACACACACACACACACACACACACACACACAAAAACAAATGCACACAATGGTCCTAAAGTGCTATATAAATAATTGTTATTAACAATTTATTATCTTTTTTGTTCATTGTATGCAAATATTACAGTACATGCTTGAAGTGGCCAAATTGGTTATCTAAGCTACCCTGCTTAGTAGCTCAAGTAAACAAACATGACATGTAGTGCACCCCCCCCCACACACACACCCCACCCCAACAGGATATTCTGGAAGACAGCAGAATTCATGGCTCCGTCAAAAATGGCAAGTAGCCCAGGCCATGAAGGCTCACCATCACACTACCACCACCATGTTTCACTGTTGGTATAATGTTCTCATTGTGGATTGCAGTGGTAGCTTTACACCGGAAGGCAGATATAATTTTCCCAAAATGCTTGGGGGTCACCAATTTGTTTTGTGGCAAATGTTTTATGTTCATCTTTGTTAGCATCTTGCAACTTTCCCATGGATGCCATTTTTTGCTAAGTCTATTTCTAATGGTGGAATCATGAACATTGACCTTCTCTGAGGCCAGTGAGGCCTGCAGTTCCTTAGATGGTCATCTGGGCTTTTTGTGACTCCCTGGAAGAGTTGTCTCTGTGCTCTTGGAGGGATTTTGGTAGGCTGAACACTTCTGGGAATATTCACCACTGTTCCATGTTTTGTACATTTGGAGATAATAGCTCTCATTGTGGTTTTGCTGGAGTCCCAGAGCTTTTGGAATGCCTTTGTAACCCTTTCCAGGCTGATCTATTTCATTAACTTTCTTTCTCATCTCTTGCAGAATGTATTTTGATCATGGCAGAGTTTGCTGCTTTTTGAGACTTTTTAGCCAACTTCGCATTGCTGAATGTTTAGATTTAGCGGGGCTGGCAGTAATCAAGACTGAGTGAGTCTAGTTTGATTAATTCCAATTATCAGCTAAATTCAGTTAATTGGCTGAGTAATTAAGGGGCCGTTACTTTTTTCCTTCAATAAAGGTGATTATGTAATAACTGTAACAGGCCTAACACACATATTCAAGCATATACACTGAAAACACCCACACACTTCAGACAGTATACAGATGGCTACAATCAAACCTGCTGACAATAATACATCATTTGTATACTGATTCTGACTCATATAAACATAAACACCATCACACGGGGTTTCTAGCAAAAGCAGATATGCACACACAGATAAATGTTTAGATTTACTTCAAAGCTTACTGTGCAGAATTATATAACGGCTTGTTGTGCAGGCCTATTTAATTCTGAGTTTCAAGACTAATATTGCAATTTAAACAGCATTTATTTTGTATAAATTAAAGTTCAGGCTTGTTTTTTGGCCAAGAAGACCAGACTATCCACCTTTGGTTGAGATGTCACAGCTGATTGGTGTTTGGCTGCTTCTGACTGGTCTAATGCTGCTGATATTGTATGCTATAATAAAACTTGCACCTTTTAAAATAGTAATTTCAGTGTAGAAGCGCTGAATCTTTCAGCCGTATGCAGATGTTAGTTGTTGTGATGCGCCACCCTCTATAACTGTACACATATTCACACAGCGGGCATAAGGGAGTAGCGCTCTCACCTTTGTGACTCACTGTTTCTCAGAAAACAGCGTGAGCTGCTAGATTTTTAGACGTGTGAAGACCTCTACTGTACACGCTCTGTCAGCCAAGGCCGTGTCGCGAGACTGTGTTTACGTCTCTTCTGAACTTTCTACTGCCCGGGCAGCGCTGAGGAAAGCTGTAGGCCTCCATCATTTATTCAGCGTGAATCTGAAGTCATAATGCATTTTCCCTCTGTACTGTGATGTTAAATGGTGGTGTAATCAAAACTCAAAGACATTTTAAAGGCAAGGCAAAGATCATTATGTTGGAAGAATATAAGACAGCAAGAATTGTGTCTGTAAAATAATAATTCTCTCACTCACTCACGGGTCATCCAAGCCGCTAATCCTCCTGGGTGGCGGGGGGCTGCTAGGGTGTAACCCAGTGCTCAATGGGCAGAAGGCAGGAAACAGCCTGGACAGGTTGCCAGTCCAACACAAGGCAGACTCACACACACCTACACTCACACCTAGTGGCAATTTAGCATCTCCTATTAGCCTGACTGCATGTTTTTGGACTGTGGGAGGAAACCGGAAGAAGCCCACACACAAGGACCCTGGCTGCCCAGTTGAATGGATTACACGCTTCAAATGTCCTTGTTTCAGTCAGAAGTCGCATCAAACCCAGGCTGAATCCCAAATGGCTCCGTACTCCCTAAATAGTGTGCTAGGTATGAAAGTACAGAAATTCTAGCCAGCGCTGTGCTGTGTTAACAGTGTTGTGTTATTATATGTTCACTGTTATATGACACTGAAATGACCGCAATATACAGGGATGGGCGACCAAACTTTCTCCCTATTCAGTGGTCCATGGTTGTTGGCAATGAAACCATACTCTGAAGGAACTACATTTCTTGGCAGAATACTTGTTTATGTCGATTATTATTAATAATAACCTAAATTATTTTCTCAAATTGAATCATATTTTATGTTGGCTGCCATTTTATAAAAGCAATAAGTCACTTGAGGCTGTAAGTGATTTTATCACAGGAAAGGGAGCTTCACGTCATGCCTAAGAACACCCGTCCCGTCATAAAATCGCAGTAACGCACGGCCTCGAGTGCCCCATCGCTTTTATATAGCAAAATAGATTCTGCTATTCTTACAAATCATAGAACCATTTTTTGTCACTATATAGGAAACTTTTTGCTAAGCTTGTACACAAAGAATCACATTTACCCTCTAAGTTCTTTTTTCAGTTTGTTTCAACAATGAGAAATGAAGCACGTTGAAAAGACAGGTGAAAAATGTAAAGGATGGTATTTCTTCACCCAAGATGACCTTAGCACAGCTGGACCTTTTCATTAAATTCAAATCATAATAAAATATCTCCTCGTCTACCTACAAGCACAAACATAGCATTGACTGAAAGTTTCGAATCTGCTAATTCGACAGAATGTCTCTGCTTGTTTCAATGAGCTCTGAGTGAGAAATGATTGATATCAAATTACAGCATGGCTTTAATATTGCCACTGATGACTCCCATTTCTGAGGTTTAACATTTTCTGAAATGAATAATAAAAGTGAATAACATCATATACACATCACTTTCCATGCACAGCGTCACATATTCATGTATCGCAACTGTAGCAAGGACAAAATTACATCATCACCATCATGAGATCCTGCTTTAACTTCAGAACTGTCCAACATACAGCTCAAATGCATATTTAAGGAAACACAAACATGTTAAATATGCCAAATATGCCAATATCATCGTGTGATGCAGGTGGGCTGTTGTTAGGGTGTGCTTGTAGCTCTGATGCTAATCTTAAATATTGTTGAATGTGTTCCAATGCATCTTATTTGGTTTGAATCCAAAAGCCTCACACAAGTGAAACCTGACAAACCATTTAAAATGGCAAATCCAACACTCATGCATACAGAATTAAGACAGGGCAAAGTAAATAGTCTCACGTGCATTCCTGACCTCATGGCCTTAAAGTCACAATATAAGTAAATGTGCCAAAACGTATCGCAGCAGATTCGCCACTGAAGCCTGGATATTACCTTCATTTAGATCCAGGGAAGAGCAGTGTAGCAAAAAATATTACATATCACAATAAAATATCTTCCATTGTGGACTTACCATACAATCATCATATATCCTACACTCATAGTGGCCTCATAGTGGCCCAGATTCCAGGACAATATCAGCCACATCTTTGTTTTGTCAACAACATTAAAGGGTAAGTAGACATGAAAACAAATATCAGAAAGAAGCTTTATAACAGCCACATAGAGTGGCAATGAAGCTAGTATCAAGATGTAGTGCTCTCGTAATCTTTTTCTGCTTTTATGTATTTTGCGCTATCAATGCTTATCATCAAAACCACAGACAAATATCATGATATTAGTTTTGGTTCATATTCCCCACCACTAAAACACTGCTGTTGCAATAACTCCCAGTTGAATCTCCAACACTTATTATAACCAAATGGCAGCTAAAAAAGGCCAGTGTAAACTCACCAGACCGTCACAGTTGCTGATGGCCACAGAGGCTCCCTGTACGTCCGTGATGTCGCCCACAAACATGCAGCTGCTGCTCAGCGGCTCCGAGCGAGTGCCGTCTGACCCCTGCCACTCCATCTTGGCTCCGGGGGCCACCAGGCGCCTGTTGGGGCGCAGGCGCAGGTGGAACTCCCGGCCGAAGACAGTGACATTGTAGTACAGCCTCTGGCCGTCCCCACTGGCCTGGTTGGGGGCGTGGCCAGCCGTTTCCGCCTCTCTTCGCCAGCGCCTACGGAACTGCCCGTCTGCTGGACCGGCCGATACCGCGTGCGACAGGAAGCGGCCCTCCGCATCGGTCAGAACAGGCCTCACCAGTCCATAGTCCCCCAGCACGTGCTTCAGGGAATCTAGAACCACACACACAGGCACACATTTATTTTTATGTTGTGTCATAACATGGGATCATGTCTCATATCATCACTGTCCAAAAAAAAGTGTCTTTATGTTTTCAACTTTTAGCTTGAGGTGTAATTCAAGCGGCGGTCCTTTACTTTGAGTGAAAAATTCATGATGATTGGACCAATAGGAATGGACCATGCTCCAAAACGGCCTTGACTTTTTTAGATTTTACTTGGAATAAAATCTCTTTACATGAACTTATTCATTTAAGTGGAGAAAGTTTTTGCCCTTTCCTGTGAAGTTACTATTTTGCATATATTACAAATAAAAGTGCCTATATGTTCTAATATGTCCCATGTGTATTATATATGAGTACCTACAGTACTGCGTAAAAGTCAGTGACCACCCTTTATTTATTTCATTTCTCATCTAAAACGACCATTTATCACAAGTTATTCATCTTTCAGTGTCATGACAAATATATTTAACATAAAACAACTGGCTTTCAGTTTTCAAAGAAATCTACAGGGACATTTTACAACAACATCTCCAAAGTTCAGGCTTAGAACTTGGTTTCACATTTTCAGCTTCTCATGATCCAAAAAATGCCACACGCATTTAGTGATGTTGCGGTCTGGACTCTGGGGTGGTCAGTCCAACACTAGCAATTTCTTTGTTCAATGTGTCTGTCTCCTTTTCTCGGTGAGGCTTGACAGCTACACATCCTTTCAGACTCATAGCGCTGAGTTGTCTTCTCACAGTAGAAATAAGGACAGAAACACCTGTGGATGTTTTCAGATCTGAAGCAGCTTGATTTTCTCCTCTCTCTCAAAGATGAAAGCTTTAAGTGCTGTTTATCTGATGGGGACAGTTTTGGTGTCTACCAGGTCTTGCACGGTGCTCAGGTGTCCCATTTTCTCTTTCAATAATTTTTTGAACTCCAGTTTTGGAAGCTCCTGTTATTTCACTTATTTTCCTTTGACTTTTCTCTTTCTTAGGCAAGTTGATTATATCTAATATCTAGTATATCATATATGGTAATCTCATCAGAAATATTTCCTGGCAAATGAAAAACAGCAATTCTGGCAACTATTTATTCATGCAACAGACATACTGTCCCGCAATTCCAGTGTTGGTCCGGCCTCTGCAGGAGAAGGTTTTTTTTCCGTTTAAAAAAGGTGAAATGCATGAAATATCACTTTCTTAGAGGCATATTTAAGATCAGGGACCCTTTAACCCTCTAGGGTCTGAGGACATTTTCCTAATTGTTGCATATCTTGTTAAATTCACCTTTAAAGGCTCTTGCATAAAACATGACACTCACATGCTTCATATCAGAATGATCTTCATCACTACTTTCCAAAACTGCTGCAGCAACTTCAGCAGCTTTAAACTCTCTGCACACCATTTCATGTCTCTCCGATGTCGACTGAGTGAAGAATGAAGGGTTTCCGGTGTGATGGGTCAGTGCTCAGTGATTTCTTGGGTGTCCATTGGTCAGTTTCACACAGAATGTAGACGGACACATTCCACCAGTTCCACATGGTGAGAGGTAGATGACGTGTATCTCAGCCCCTCTTCATAGCCTCATAACTCTGGATGCGAGTCACGCCTGATCTCGTGATAAGATGGAATGGAAAGGGCGACTCTACAGATTCAGGAAATGTTTGAACTGTATTTCTGTGCTGTATTATCACAAAGATACAGAAACAGGTATAAAAATGTGATGTACGTATCATTGAAAACCAAATTTCTCTTTTTTCTTTAAATAAGACGTTTGAAGTGACCACTCTGAAGCTTCAAAACTGGCCACTCATTATTTCTTTGATGTCACAAGAAACAACTCATTAACAAACATCCACTTATTCAACAACAAGGGGCAGTTAAGCATATCCAATTGGCCTGACTGCATGTTGTTGGACTGTAGAAGGAAACCCACATAGACACAAGGAGAACATGCAAGAACACACAGAAAGGACCCAGGTTACCCGGGCGGGGAAGCGAACCCAGGCCCTTCTTGCTGTGAGAAAATAGCAGTACCCACTGCCGCCCAGGCCTTATTGATTGTTTGTTTGTTTGTTTGTTTGTTTATTTATTGATAAGACCAGAATATCCAGAATATTAGCATCTCCAATTCTCCTGACTGCATGTCTTTGGACTGTGGGAGGAAACCCATGCAGAGTCAGGGAGAACATGCAGACTCCACACAGAAAGGACCCCGGTTACCCAGCTGGGGAAGTGAACCCAGGCCCTTCGTGCTGTGATGCAACAGCACTACCCACTGTCACCCAGGCCTGTTGTTTTTTGTTTGTTTATGTATTTATATATTGGTAAAATGACCAGAATATCCAGAATATTAGCATCTCCAATTTGCCTGACTGCATGTCTTCGGACTGTGGGAGGAAACCCACGCAGACACAGGGAGAACATGCAAACTCCACAAAGGAAGGTCCCTGGTTACCTGGGTGGGGAAGCGAACCCAGGCCCTTCTTGCTGTGACACAACAGCACTATATGTACTTATTTATTTATTGGTAAGAAGACCAGGAAATCCACTGTTTAGTGCCTTAAGACTTGACCCCTAAAGGTTGTGTGCCAGACTGCCAGCAAGCTGTGGTTGTGATGTAACAACAATGCATCTTTCAGCCCGATTAATAATAATAAACCAAAATACAAATTTAGTATAACAGAGTAGAAGCCCAAACTGCAGCTAAACAGTCTGAGTGTAAATGCAATGCAGCACATTCTCTCCTCTCTCTCCAGCAGCCGGAGGAAGCTCAGAGGTCAGGGTGATAATTGCCCTTATGGGATGTTTTCTCACTGCTGCTGCCTCTCGGGCTTCGAAAAAAGCCACCTGCAAGCGCCTCCTCGCGCTTAAACCCAACGCGCCCGCGCGAAGCGACCTGCAAAACGCCTGCCTGTCCTGCCTGCGCGCTCGTTTCTGCCCGAACCACACGAGCTCCGTCTAATTCTCACTTTCTCTCCGCTCTAACACCTCAGACTCCAGCGAGGCTCAGTGGGGAACTGGCCACACCTAATGAAGACCACGAGCACACTCTGTCCCTCCTCGTGCTGAGCTTGCATGATCACCATCACTGGACTGACTGCACTCCACATCCCGTCAAATTCAGCATCAGTTGCACAAAAATGCAATTCTGGAGTGAAATGCACGAGCAGATAAAAGACTATTTCAGAGGCATGTATTCGCCTCCGCGTGCAGATGATCTGAAGGAACAGAGAAGTGAATAAAACGCGACAATATCTGCACAGATCGTGTTTAAATGCGGTGCAACATTTGCATGAACACGGCTGAAGTTGGTTTCCCATTCGCCAGCTTCTTTCGAATTTCCCCGTTCCACCTTAAATGGTGCACCATTTAAGGTGGAACGGGAAAATTCGAAAGGAAAGCTGACTTCAACCTCGTTGCATAAACACACTGAACTTTGTTTCTAAACGTCACTCAACCCTGTTTTGAGTTCAAAGCGACACGTCACGCGACCAGTTACAGAGTAATATCACTCTCCTGCCATCTCCCAGCCCGGGGCGCGTGCATCATTCTCGGCTTTCGAATTCGCTCGTGCGTCCCAGTCTCCTGCCTTCTTCCACAACTAAGTGAGATGCACTTCGCGCGGACAGATGACACAGCAGCACGCGGCTGCCAAAAAAAGTGATTTAAAGCAGACTGACCACATGCAAAAAAGTTGACCAAGAAAAAGTCAGCGGGCAGGGGGAGAGGGAGGGATTGGGGAGAGTTCCACTGCACTGCTTTTGCATGCAGATAAAAAAAGAAGAAAAAGAAGTGTGCTGAGGCTGAAGCCCGCGTGCACGTACCTATGCTACTGGCGATGTACAGGCCGTCCGCGTGCAGGAGAAGCGGCAGCAGGGTGAAGAGCGCGAGTGTGCGCGCGGGCTCCATGGCAGCTCCGCACTGCGCGGGGAGAGAGTTGGAAGTCGCGCGAGGAGGAGAGTTTTCCCCCTCCGGAGCAGCAGAGGCACGCAGCAGCAGCAGCAGCTCGAGCCGCCTGCAACTTAACTGCACAGCGCACGAGGACAGAGCGCCCCTCTCTCTCTCTCTCACTCTCTCTCTCTCTCTCACTCACACATACACACTCTCTCTCACTCACTCTCAACAGTCTCTCTCTCCCTCTCCTCACACATATAAACACCTCTCTCTCCCACTCTCTCTCTCACTCTCTCTCTCTCTCTCTCTACTCCCCACAGTCTCTCTTTCTCGCTTACTATTCAGTCTTTCTTTCTCATATACTCCTGTCTCTCTCTCTCTCTCTCTCTCTCTCTCTCTCACACACACACACACACACACACACACACACACACACACTCCAATCCCTCTCACCCTTTCTCTTTTACACTCTACAGTCTGTCTCTCTTACTCTTCAGTTTCTCTCACTTTTCAGTCTCTCTCTCTCTCTCTCTCTCTCTCTCTCTCTCTCTCTCTCTCTCTCTCTTTCTCTTACCCTCCACAGTTTCTCTCTCGTTTACTCTCTGCAGTCTCTCTCTCTCTTTCTCACCCTCCACAGTCTCTCTCTCGTTTACTCTCTGCAGTCTCTCTCTCTCTCTCTCTTACCCTCCACAGTCTCTCTCTCGTTTACTCTCTGCAGTCTCTCTCTCTTACCCTCCACAGTTTCTCTCTCGTTTACTCTCTGCAGTCTCTCTCTCTCTCTCTCTCTCTCTCTCTCTGTCCCATTTACTCTCCACTCTCTCACTGTTTCTTTACAGACTCTCTCTCTTTCTCTTATTTAGGCTTCTCTCTCTCTCTCTCTCTCTCTCTCTCTCTCTCTCTCTCTCCCTTCACTCAGACATACTCCCCCCTCTGCTGTCTTGTACTCTGCACCTGTGCACGCGCCACCAAAACTCGCGCGCGCCCACGCTGCTGTCACTCGAGTGCCGAGTCTCCCATCACCGGGGACCACGCGCGCCTGTGTGTGTGTGTGTGTGCGCGCGGCTAACTTTCACTGCACTTTTAAACAAGCCTGTCTCTCACTCCTCTGCGCCGCTGCGCGCTCTGCTCTGGCCGGAGCTGAAACGTCTGTAAACTTTATTCCACGTTCTCGCAGAACAAGAGCAATAGCGCCCCCTGTGAGCTCAAGTCAGGACTTTTTAAAACTGCACCCACTCTACTGTAGAGAGACTCGTGTTAAAGTTCACGGACACTGGTTACTGGTTGTTTATATTATATGTCTTGCATTTATATTTATATTATGCACGGATCCTGTGTGTCCTATCGTTTTTTTTTTTTCTGAAATCACGGGTATTAATAGTGAGTTTGTTCTTCCTTTGCCGCAGTAACAGCCTTTACTTTTCTGGGAAGGCATTACTTTAGATGTTGGAGGGTTTGATTGCATTCAGCCACAAGAGCATTAGTGAGGTCAGGTACTGATGTTGGGTGGTCAGTTCTGGATCACTCAGCTCTTCCCATAGGTACTGGATGGAGCTCCATGGCTACAGAGAACACAGTTCCACTGCCCAATGCTGGGGGGCTTTATACCCCTCTAGACGCCACATTACATTGAGCATGGTGTTCTTAGGTTTATCTGTGGCTACTCCAGAGCATCCAGTATAATTGGTCAATGCATTTCTATGGAGATTATACAAGCTACCTTAAAGTAGCTGAAATCATTCATTAGAAGGGCTGTCTGGATACTTTTGGAAAGAGAATTTACTCATCTACTCACGTTTGCAAGAGGTGTTTTCAAAGCTCCACCTTGCTGCTGTACAGCTAGAGACTGTAGTATCAGAAACTGACCAATGATGAATGGGTTGGAGGGCAGTCAATAAATATAGATGGGCTGCAGCCTGTAATTGTTCACCTATATAATGGATCTGTGTGGTGGTTCTCACAGAATGGCCAGTAAATGGAAATGGAATGTTGATGTTTCTAATAAAGTGGACAGTTAAAATATAAAATAATGACCGTTTGGCCGTGTATAGGTGGCGGGGAATCAGTGCTGCAGTTTTCCAAAGCACTGCAGCACAGATGATCCATCATTGTGGGCAACTGCATGTGTTTTCAGTGTGCAGTTAAGAAAAAGATGTGGTGGTTTTACTGATCACCCATTGCCTGATAATAAATGCCATCTGATTTCTGATCCTGCGGATTGCGCTGGCCTCTGCCCACCCCCTCCCTTTCCTCACCGTTGCCATGGTGATACCAAGCCCTGTACCTTGAAAAGTACACTTCCTCTGAGACATTAATATCTGAGACATTAATATCCACATCTTCTAGCCACAGCTTGTTTGTGTATTTCGGTATAGACAGCAAGGCCTAAATTCTTGCTGTCGACTAGTGTGGTCAGAAATCATATCCTATCTGTCCAAAGGTGTGTAGACACTCCTTCTAATTAGGGAATTCAGCTACTTTAAGATGCACTCGTTTCTGGCACAAGTAGGCGCATAGCTTGTATAATCCCCATAGAAAAGCACTGACAGATATAAAGGGATGTTCTAAAGGTCAGCATGTCCAAAGCCAAGCAAGGGCAAGAGGGGTATAGCCCATCATTGGGCTGTGGAGCAGTGGAACTGTTTTCTGGAGAGATGAAGCTCCATCCAATACCGCTGAGTGATCCAGAACTGATCATCCAACATCAGTACCTGACCTCACTAATGCTCTTGTGGCTGAATGCAATCATATTAGCACAGCAAAGTTCTAACATCTAGCATAAAGCTGTCCTGGAAGAGTAGGAGCTGTTACTGCAGCAAAGGAGGAAAAACTCCCTATTAATACCCCTGATTTCAGGAGAAATGTTGGATGAGCAGGTGTCTACAAACTTTTGGACACATAACGTCCGCTTATGTGGTTTTCTTGCATTGAAAATGATATCAAATGTCTGAGATAAACAAATCATACTTTTGAAAGATACTTTTCATGTATGATGTTTATTAAAAGCTACTTTTAATAAACATCATACATCATTCGGAATTTAACCACAGGAATATATTGTCGAAAAACATGTATACACATAAAAAACATGTATATCCATTTTTGTTGATTATTATTTTTCTACATTATTTAAATAATAGCAGCTGCCCTTTATGTGGTGTGAAAATATTATGATGTATGGAACAATAGAAATTCATCAACATTACTTGGAATGAAACCTCCTTATACTAACTTACATTAAAGGTAAGAACATTTCTGCCTTCTCCTGTAAAGTTACTGTTTCAGAGCTACATGTTTTTCCTTGCACAGCGACACTGTCCAAACACTACTGCATTACCTCCCCCATTAGGTAGTAGACTGCATAGAAAGCATAAAAACAAGAGTTTGGGGTAGCTGGGGACTTTTTTTCAAGTGTATATGTGGAATGTTTTGGCACACAGTTTCCCAGTTTTCCATTTACCATAAATGTAGATGAACAGCTAAGACATTTTGCTGGAGCTACAAGGCTGTTGTAGCTATCAGACACTAAAAGTCAATAGTCACCCAAATCTTACTGTACACTTCTGTCAACCTGCTCTAACCTCATCCAGCTCTTCATTAATGTCGCACGGACTTGTCGATGTGGTTTAGGAGACATTGTGACTTTCTGTGAAATATAAGAACGAACATAACATCACTGAGTAGCTTAATGGGTAGCCATTTTAATCAGCAGACTGCTGCCAAATTTGACACCCCTTCACATTTATGCATGTCAAACAGGCACATATACACTCGATTACACTTGCAATTTCTTTTGTTTCAATGCATAAACATACACTATATAGAAATGGTGTAAAGCACACCGCAAATGGGCTCTGGAGAGTGGAAATGCATTCTGTGGAGTGATGAATCATGCATCTGGCAGCCTGATGGATGAGTCTGGGTTTAGCAAATGCCAGTAGAACGTTACCTGCCTGACTACGCTGTGCCAACTGTAAAGTTAGGTGGAGGAGGGATAATGCTACGTGATTGTTTTTCAGGGGTTGGCCTAGCCCCCTTAGTTCCAGTGAAGAGAAATCTTAATGCTTCAACGCATCAAGACAATTGTATGCGTCCAACTTTGTGGGAACAGTTTTGGAAAGGCCCTTTTCTGTTCCAGCATGACTGAGCCACAGTGCACAAAGCAAGGTCCATAAAGGCATGGCTGGGTAAGTTTGGTGTGGAAGAACTTGACTGGCCCTCACAGAGCCCTGACCCCAACTCCATCAAACAGCTTTAGAATGAACTTGAACAGAGATTACAAGCCAGGCCCTCTCGTCCAACATCAGTGTCTGACCTCACAAATGCTCTTTTGGGGGACCAACTGCATATTCATGCCTATGGATTTAAAACAGGATTTCATACAAGCTCCTGTAGGTGTAATGTGTAGATGTCCCAATACTTTTGTCCATATAGTGTATATCTGCAGCGCAAAGATTAAAGATTATCAGTTACATAAATATAAACAACAGAAATCATGAACATTATCTGGCGTGTCCATAGGTCCGCATGACATCGTCTACGTGTATGGGAGTCTGAGGTTTTGTTACTTATACAGTAAGTCATACTGTGTCCTAAACCTCATTAACAAGTCTGCATGACCCTAATAAAGACCTGGATGCAGTTTGAGCGGATTGAGAGAAATTTTGGGGATGTATTTACAGAAAAGATTTGGGTGACTATTGACTGTTTGTGTGTGTAGGCAACACTGGCCTAGTTGCTCCAGTTCTAAACTAAAAATATCAAAATTTCAAGAATATCTTGGCTGATACATCTAAGGTAAGTGGAAAATTGTAAACAGAAAAACAAATGAATTTAAAAAAATTGGTCAAGTCAGCACAATTAGCTTTGTTAGATGAATAGAGTCAGTTGACATATTTTTTTTGAAGGAACTGTGCATAAATTAATACAAACAAGTATGATATGACTTTACCATGCAGTGCCAAAGACCTTAATGCTTATACCTAATATTTCTAGATGTGTGAAGTCTTCTAATCTGGAGTTTATGGATTTAAAGTGATCATCAATGATTTCTAAAGCTTCTGTGGAGTTAAAAATTATTCTTAGAAGGCATACAATCGGAGCGGCTTCCTGAGAGGTGGACAGGGACTGTCCTTGGCGGGGTCAAACACATGGCAACCATTTGCTTGCATGCATTTGCATAACTGATGAGCATAGGGACAGATTTTAATTGTGCTCTTGAAAGGTTAAATTCTGAAGCATCAGGTTGGCAA